TCTGGGACATGCTCGGTGGCCTCGCTCTTGGGTGCTGGTGGGCCATGGATGATGCACAGGTCCTGATGTGTTTTAAGCTTACTCCCGTCAGGTGCGGAATGCAAGTTCAGGACGTGTAGAGAAAAATCTTGCCGGTCATTCCGTGCACGAGTAGCTCCAGTTGGCAACCGAAATGCCAAACACGGGTGACCCTCCTCCTTCCGCGCATCAGCACGTAGACCTTGTCCACCAAGTTCTAAAGAAAATAGAGGCCTGCAGTGAAAGCAAATACACAACATCCGAATTGATCCCAATGCTGGAGATCAAAACTGGGCTGATTATGTTTAATTTATGTGGTGTTCGAACAGCGAGAATCTCATGTACTGCTTTAGTCAATCCACAAGGATGGTGGCAATCACAAGCTCAGGCATGCGGGTTGCAGGCCGAACTAAGCTACACCTCTACCGTTCTCCCACCCACACCCACATCGCCACCTATTCGTGTGTCTGCACGAGGCATTGCTGTGTCTCTCCAGCTTAGCTCATTTCAATATCTGTTCTGACCAGTTTAGTTTGTGAGTCCGCTGTGGCACATGCTGAGGTCCCAGCAACATCTGTACCCCTAAGAAAGAAACTGCCTCCAGCGACCTGGCAAACATGTGCTTGTGCACCCCGGCAGTAGCTACAACAGGTTTGTTGGTTGGTTTGCTTGGCAGCTGGTACTGCAGCTGGTACTGCAGTAGCCTGACATGTATAGCTATCTTTCTGCGCTTTGCAGCACTAATTATATAGATTGAGTGGTCGGCGAGGGCCCGGCACTGGGGACTCCGAAAACGCGCACTTCACTGGGACAGTGTCTTTTCACTGGCAACACTCGTTCTTGCCATGCATGTCCACATGTTGATTCTGGCCGCAAAATATATAACGCGTACGTACAACAGTGCGAACCTTTTCGAACCAATCAATCACGGTTGGCGATTGGATATCCCGTATCGCTGACCAAAGCTGGATATTTTTCCACGTAGGTTCGCTGCCAAGCTCAATCGGCTTGGCACTCGTACCTGGACCACGCGTCCTTTAGTGATGCTAATGTTGGTAACACTGACACTGATGCTAGTCCTTGAATCTTCGGTAGCAGCTGAGGACATTATCACCTATCAGTCTCCTTCAAGAAAATAACATTTGTACACTCATACTCATTGCGTTCCCCTTTGAGATTTAGATGGAGTCCCCTGCACGCTAATTATGGACAGTGAGCCTTGGACATGTTTGAATATATAATTACGATCCATCCTACACTGTTTTGTTGCCAAGCATGTCTTTCTGAGTTCCATCTGCTTTGGCTATTTCATGCTATTTATGTAATGTTGTTTTTTCTTCTTCGTACTGATGAGAAGCGTTGCGTTGCTTGTGGACGGTATGAGCCTTGTGCTCAGTCATTGAGAAAGCTGTCAATGCATGCCTTCGGTTAATTCTACAGTATCCACACATCATCATAGGCTTCGCAACTGCAAGTTCCATGCACGAAAGGAAATCAATGAAGAAATATGACAACTGGCTGGACTTGCGTGCCCCTTACTTTGGATACAATCGGGCACCGCTCTTGAAACATTATAGAAATTATATATATATAGTAATGTTTGCGTCCTATGAGCTATAAATTGCTGGAAAAGCTGGGAGGATCAACTCAATAGGTCCATCTACCCTGACCGAAACCACACAGGCTTCCTCACCTCACCATACTGGTCTTGTCCTCCGACAAGTCCTGTGACTGCTAGCAATGTGTACAGACGCCTCATCTCAAGAAGTGACTTTGACTCATGCCGCTACGCTCGACTTAGGACATGGGTGTCCCTACTTGCAACTGCTGCAGACAAGAATGCTTTCTTTACTGCCCGCTTTGAGGCCTCCCTTTCTACTGTCTTTTCAGCTACAAATAACCCACTCCTCCTCCTCCTCCTTTGAGGGCGCAGGCATGGGCATCGCCTAGCGATCAAACCTGTCACCTCATCGCCTTCAAGCGAACCACCACATTCACATGGACTCATATTATGATTCATCTGCCACACCTGTTTGGGTCAATCTGTAGCTCTTTGATCGGCCTCCCCCCTTTCAGAACCGTCAAACCACTAGTTAGTACACCATGCAATTGTTTTATTGGAGATTTCAGTATGATCAGTGATCAGTGTTGTTGCCAATGTCATGGACGTGATCAACAAGCGTGCAGTGTTGCATACAAATGATCGGTTGTCGCAGGGTTTCGTTCATGCGACCGTGCTTTTGTCAACACCTCTCAGCATCCATGTGCAGTCACTCCCACTTGATCCTACCATTTGGTCCAACCTCACGCGGAGTTGGTGGAGCTGGCTCTGCCATAGATCCCGGCAACTGGCCAGGTAGACTTTGGGACAAGGATGCAGTGCTGCAGTCTCTACCGCCAATAGCAAGCGCTTTGACTGTAGAAGGATGGAACCAAAGTCAGCAAAAACTCAAAAGCTCGAGAATGGATGGACTTCAACGAAATGGGTGAATTCTGTTTCGAACCAAACGCGCGTGTTCTGCACCAAAAAGGGACCGAAATCGGCGCCGAAGGCACATGTGCCATGGTGGGCGCAGCGTTTGCGTTGCTGAATGGAGCTACATGCCGTGCCGGAAGGAGCCAGGCTGCGAGGTCCTGCCGACGAGGAGCCAGGCTGCGAGTCGTGATCGCACACAGCGTGATCCCGGTGAGGCTTTGGTGTGAATGTCCGGATGCCTCACAGTGTCGTTCAAAAGTCTGATCCAAAGTCATTGATTGCATTGCATATGGTTTCATTGCATTGCATTGCATGTGGATGGTCCCAAAATATCAGTGGATCTCCCCTCTCTTCTCTATATCACTTGTCTTCAACTCTGCGATGGCTCTGCGTTGGGGGGTGTGATAGGCGGGTACACCCGGAATCATCGAATCAGGGAATCTCATAGGTATCATCATTTCACTCATCATTTCATATACATGTTCGATTCATGTTACTAGTTACCAGACTCGTTGTTTGTTGTTTATAATACAGTAGATCAATTTATGTGATGTCAATCTCCTTCAGGATCGATCCCCGAAGATCGAAGCGGAACCTCGGGGAACCGATCCGCGGCCGCTCCGCCGATCCGGGGGGAATCGAAAACGGGTCCGTGTGAATTCGGGTCCGTGTGTACGGATGTTGAGATGAATCCATATGGATATTCGGATTCTTTTTTTGGGTTTGGGATGGCTTTGGAATGCCTTGGATAATGTGTTGATCACTGTAATCTTTATTTCGTGGTTGGTCGATGTTTCATGACTTGCCGGTTTGAAGTTTGAACTGAGGGTCTTTGACAGGTCTCCTCCATCTTTGAACACACGCGTGAGAAATGGAAACATAGGAAAGGGGGAAGCAAACACTGCTGATGAGGCCTAGAAGAGGAACATGCCAGGGAAGCCAACCTGTGGAACAACTGGAGAGTTCGTTTGGGCCGACCGCATCGAAAACACAAACATTGATGGATTCGGCTTTCAGAAACAATACAAACATTGATGGACATTGAATGACAAACAGCGCAAATCAGCTGTGAGTCGTTTTACATCTTGAAGCAACTGATGAACTGACATACCCATTGGTGAGAAAAACTGACGTGACATCACATGGCCCACTCGTCCCTCTGAGCTGAGCCACTCTAGCAGGGTCGTTCTGGTGTCGCCCTGTTCACCCTCGCGCTGTAAAGCGATTCGATCTCCATCCTTCAAGGGCACCTGCGGACTTAGCGAAGACAAGCGCATTTGATCAACTGAACAAGTATCAGTGCAACGAACCTGTATGCAACGAATGGAGAAAGCGCTAGCCTGCTCCCCACCAATTGATAGCAGCTGGTCGTTCACCATGGTTCCGTTGGAGCTGAAATTCCTCAAACGACGGGGCAACTAAGCAAGCTCAATGCCCCTTCCAAAAACATCTGTGTAAATATCATGTGTGTGTGTACATACAATGCCTTTGAACCAATACACACAAGACTCACCCGAGCACCGTGCGTGAAAAAGAAGGAGCACGAACGGTCTGAGCAGGACAGGATGCTGTCTTGATGACGGTGCATGAAAGCATGAAAAAGCATCCCAAAAGCATTCGTCTCTATCGAAGGGATTGCGTGGAATGAGTGAAGAGAACTGTGAGTGGCACGGCACCAAGGCTCCGGACTGGTGCTCCCCTGTCCAGCGTTCCAACACAAGGCCATGCGGTTTTCACATCGAACTGAGATGCTCGCGACTGACTGCACTGCCCAGATCTGGAACTGCTCCCGGTCCACCAAAGAGGCCTGGAGTGTCAAAGGCTCCAGGGAGTGGTGCCACGCATCAATCCCTCGAAAATAGTTATGGACTTGCTGGACTTGTTACTAGTAGTAAGAATGCTACTAGTAGCGATGCCAGGAGACCCTAGTAGCGTCCTTGCTCCTAGTAGTAAGGCCACGAGCCCCTAGTAGCTTCTTGTTACTACTAGTGTATGGAGTACTTATAAGTCCCTTTTACAACAGAAAAGTACCGTGTACATCCAGTGGCCTCTTCGCCCAGCACAGACGTGAAAAAGTCCTCACCAGTTGTTTTCAACAGGTCGTTCTCACCCAACGCTTCAAAGTCGCTTGTCAAAGAATCGACAAGATTGTGGCACATTCTTCGAGGCAAATCGAAGCTGGAAGAGAAGGGGACCACAAAAAGCTGTTCTTCCACAAAAAAAGGTTCCAATTAGTCTGCCTGTTCGTCGCTCCTTCTGGAAGAGCAACCCCACTCTCTGTGTGGCAGGCAGTTCACATCCTGCTTCCCACTCATGGAGTAGGCTACGTGCGGTGCCTGGAACCTCACGATACACTGGTCATCCGCTGCTTGCCGGAATCGGCCACAGGCTGATTTGAAATACCTGGTTACCTGGTGACCTGTGGAGTCCAGTTTCGCAACCTTTTTCTGGCCCAGTTCGCTAGTTCACTCTTCAGCTGCGTGAAACTAGAACGAATTCGACGAATTCACACAGAATCTTGACTACATGAATGAATGGACTCTGGCGGCACGGACATGTTGTCGTCAACGTCGTCATCGCCGTCATCGTCGAATGAATTTTCATATTCATCATCTTCTTCCTCTTCCTTTTCCATCTTCTCCTCTTTCTTTTCCTTTTCCTCTTCTTCATCGTCCTCCTTCTTTTCCTTCTCAGCCGCGTGTTCAGTCACCGAGATAGGCTCCTTCGGCTTGGACTCATCCACTTGAGTCAAGGGAGGCAAAGTTTTGGCCTTTGGCTTCAACAAGACATCCAACGCGTCAGCCGCATCGGCCTTGGTGGCAGTGAACATCGGTTGTTTGGGCTTGCTCAAGGAATCTAGCGAATCCAGAGGAGCTGGAGTCGGCCTTGATGGTAGGGGCCCCAAAGGCCGTAGCTGCGAGGCTGCTTGCCCGGGCTCCAGCCTCGCGGGCTCGGCTTTTGCATCGGCATTTTCCGGAATTTCCTCTTCCTCTTTAATGGGAGATGAGGCAATCCCACGATCAGATCGAGGCTTGGAGACGGGTCGAACCTCCTCCACAAAGTCACACTTCTGTTCCAGTTCTGTGGAAAGCTCCACAGACTGGTCTGGACAAATACTCATCTCATTGAACGAAGCACTCACTTGGCTTGAGCTTGCACCCTTTTGACCAGAATTCGGAGAGTCCGGAGCAGATGGAGGAGCATCCTTCTCCACTGTCAAGCTCTGGGCGATCCTTCCAGCTGAGCTCGCAGGTGAAGCACTATCAGATAGAACATCAAATGCAGAGTCAGCCTCTGCAGTGATGTAAGGGCTTGGTGCGGCAAACCTTTTCTCTGTGACGTCCTTTGCCGTCTCTGTCAAAGAGAAGTTCAGGCTGCCATCAGGGGCTCCGGGCCGTTCGGTGTGCTCGGTGAGGGAAAAATTCAGACTTCCATCTCCACTGGCAACAGAATCTTTGTGGGCAACATGTGTGGCAGGTGCAGCAGGAAAGTCTTGCTTGCTCTGCAACTCTGCAAGCTGCTCAGACAGAATGTCCAACCGACCACGGATCTCATCAAGGGGAGACTGACTGGCACCATTCAGGCTGATGCCAATCTTGTTTCGCGGCCCCAGAAGACCTTCCAAGTCCTTTTTCATTTCACAAGAAGACGACTCAGTAGACGTGATTCGGCCCAGGAGATTGGTGACTTCGGTCCGCATATCTTCGAGTTCCTTCTTTGCTGTGGACACCACAGATTCAGTGGAGCTCAGTCGCTCCGCCACATGAGTGATCTGGTTTTCAAGGCCGGTGACATCATCGAACTTCTTGTTCAAATCCTCCAAGCTACACCTCGTTTCAACCAGGTCTCTCTGATGCTCTGCAAGATTGGCCACTTCTTTGGAGAGTTGCATGCCAATGTCCTGAACCTGTTGCTGCACCTGAGATCTGAGCTTCACATCCTCTGCACTGGCCTCTGCGCGATCGATGACATGTTCTCCACTGACGGAATCAATCTTTTGCTCCAAAGCAGCAATCTGATCTTTCAGATCTGCCATGCTCTCCAGGTTTGACTCTCCTTCCTTCGGTTCCTCGATCTGCTCCTTCTGGAGATCATTGATCATCGCACAAAGTTTTTGCAGCTCGGTGTCTGTCTCCACTTTGGTCGCATCAAATCGTGCCTCTAGCTCATAGAACTTTTTCAAGTCTTTCATGATTTCTTCCTGCTGCTGGTACTTTCCTTTGATAAGCTCCTGAACGTCCTTGATCATACGCTCTCCTTTCGTGGGCTTTTGTGCAATCTCCTCAAGTTCCTTGACTCTGTCCCGCAGATGGCCCAAATCCCCTCCTTTGGCAAAGGTGCCACACTCAAACTTACAGTACTTGAGATCGGCATCGACCTCCTCCAACTTTTCAAGGATGGCCTGCTCAGCACTGGCTTCTGCATCTGCATTTGGCAAGCGACTTCGAAGCTCTTTGATCTCCTCCTTCATGCCTGGCACTGTAGCTTCGAATGCCTTCGTGTTAGCTGCGAGTTGGGCGAGGCTTTCTTGAAGATCATCAAGATTCAAGTGGTTCGAATTCACCTTCTCTGAGAGCTCCTTGACGACATGCTTCACCTCCATCAGCTCGCCCGCAATCAAACTGGTGTCTTTGGTCTCTGGTTCCACTTGCTCCGTAGAGGGTTGCATCTGATCAAACTTATCAGCAAACTCTAGGCGCAATGCATCCAAGTCAGCAAAGGACACTGCTGGTGCCTCTTGCAAAGTGCTAAGTATTTGCTCATCTCCACCGAGTCGCGCAGCAAGGTCATTCAACTGTGCCTGCGTTCCTTGACTATCTGCTTTTGCAAGAGCCAACTTTGTTCGAAGTTCCTCGTGTATTGACTTGAGCTTGGTATCATTTGCATCGAAGCGGAGCTGCAAATCTCCGAGCTCGCGCCCCAAATGATCTGAAGGAGCAGAAGCCTTGACGGGAGCCTCACCACCAAAGCTCACCTCTGACAAGGGACCAGGAGGACTACCCATCCCGTGTGGTTCTGGGCCAGCATTCCATTTTCGCTCCAAATCTCCAAGGCGCTCAGTCAGATCATCCACAATCTCCAAGTGCAGTGCCACGGCTTCAAGCTTCTCCTGCAAAGCAGCATTCCCACCACCTGACCCCTGCGTGCCCGGCCCTGCCACTCCGGAGTTCGGGGCCTCGGTCAAGGAGGACTGCTCGGTCTCCCGCACGAAGTCCAAATTCCCTTCGACCTCCAGAAGCCGGGCGGCGATGTCTGCCACTTGGGAGGACAATGCTCCCACTTTTGCCTCCACTTCACCATTGACTCGCAAGGATGCTGCATCCTCGTTCTGCTTTCGCTCAATGAGACTGTGAATCTGCTTGACTTGTTGCTGCCAAGAAGAGCTGTTGGCCTCTGCACTGCTGGCATGCTGTTTGAGCTTGGAAACTTGCTCGACAAGGTCACAAATGGTGTTTTGGACCTGAACCATCCGGGTCGTTTCAGGGTCCTCAACTGCAGTGCCCTGTTCCTCCAGCACTTCCAAGCGACGCCTGATGTTTTCCACATCCTCATTGTCCCTGAGTGGCTTTCCATCCGGATCACCCTGGATTAGCTCCTCCACTCTCTCTCGCAGATCAAACAAATCCTGTTCATGACCTGCCAATCTTTCTTCCGTGGTGCGCATCCAGGAACTGTCCTCTTGGATATCAGGTCTGTAGCTCAGAGCTGCAGTCTCAGCACGGGCTTGACGCAAGGCTTCACGAACCTCGATGCAGGTTTCCTCTGTGGAGTCCTCGGTGCCAAACAGAACCAAAACGCAGTCGTAATCTGTATGATTCTATGATCCACAGAAAAGTTATCCTGTGACATTAACAGCAGAAATGGGTATGTTGGAACAAACCTGCTGACGTAACTACGATCTTCAACGCATAGTCCTGCTCATCAAGTCCTGAGTTCTGAACCCAAGTCCTGAGTATGTTGCAATCTGCTCTTCAAGGACTGAATCTCGGCATCAAGTTCGCGACGTTCCTGGCCTCGTGCCTGCGAGATTTCCACGCGCAAGGAGTCAATGGAGGGCTCATGCGCGGTCTCAATGCGCTCGGCCAAGCTGCCAACGCGGTCCATCAATCGATCCACCTTCACACGCAAACTCGCCATGTTGGAAGAAACCTCCTCCACTTGGCCTGTGACCTGGCCGTGGCTGAAATATGCTGATATGAAGATGTCAAGACTAAAAGGAAACAAATCGGACATCACTAAACACCACCAGAACGACCGACCAAAAACAAACGGGACACACTTCAACATCCACCACTTCACGACTGCTACATACATACGGCACCACTTCGCTGCATGTAGAAACACATCATCACCACTTTACCACTAAGATAGAAAACAAAAGACGTTTACACCCAGCAATCTGTCAATTCGCGAAGGCAAAGCCTCATGAACACAAGATGTCTGGACACCAGCGGCATAATCATACAGTGCGATAGTGCATCCGAGACGTCGTTTCGCCAAACCACAAGCCCTACACAAATCGAACTCCCTGACGGCACAGCCTGCGTAGAAACAAATCGAACTCCCTGACGGCACAGCCTGCGTAGAATTTGCTTATCTTAGCTTCCTAGCAAGACTAAATCTGAAAACCACACACCCCAATCAGGTCATGTTTACATGTTTTTACTGTGGCTGGGAAGTCTGCACCTCTAAGACAAAAATTACTTGACTTCGAGTGATCCCCACAATGACATTTCAAAACAACCACGTTGACCTCACCCTCGTTGTGTAATTCAGCCCAGAGCACAAGTCCTTCAGCGCCAAGTCTTACTGCTTTGTCCGAAGCGAATGCTTTCATCAGGAGACCTGTGCCCAACTAATAGTACAACTCAGATCATTTCACCTGGGAAACTTCCAGGGCCTGAGCAGTAGTAGAGTAGGAGTAGGAGCAGGAGTAGGCGTAGGCGTAGTCGTAGGAGTAGTAGTAGTAGTCGTCGTCGTCGTCGTAGTCGTGGTGGTGGTGGTGGTCGTGGTAGTCGTAGTAGTCGTAGTAGTCGTAGTAGTCGTCGTAGTAGTAGTAGTAGGAGCAGCAGCAGCAGGAGTAGTATTATGTACTATACTTGCTGTAGGATGTTGCCTGTCTCAAGTCTCTTTGCAAACAGCTGCGCCAACAGATATGGAAATGCATCCGACCCTAGTCACTCTGGCATATGATCGAACTGATTGCTCCCACACTATGGTGATTCTTGTGGTTCTCGATCTTGCTTGGGTCCTCCGGTTGTGTGTTGTGGTTGTGTTGTGACTGTGTGTGTGGTTGTGTGTTTGATTGTGGTTGTGTTTGTGGTTGTGTGTTTGTGATTGTGTTTGTGGTTGTGTGTCTGTGATTGTGTGTTTGTGGTTGTGTTTGCTGTTGCGTGTTTCTGGTTGTGTGCTTGTGGTTGTATGTTTGTGGTTGTGTTTGTTGTGTGTTTGTGATTGTGTGTTTGTTGTTTTGTGCGTGTGATTGTGTGTTTGTGGTTGTGTGTTTGTAGTTGTGTGTTTGTGGTTGTGTGTTTGTGGTTGTGCGTTTGTGGTTGTGTGTTTGTGGTTTTGTATTTGTGATTGTGTGTTTGTGGTTGTGTGCTTGTGGTTGTGTGTTTGTGGTTGTGTGTTTGTGGTTTTGTGTTTGTGATTGTGTGTTTGTGGTTGTGTGTTTGTAGTTGTGTGTTTGTGATTGTGTGTTTCTGATTGTGTTTGTGGTTGTGTGTTTGTGGTTGTGTGTTTGTGATTGGCTGTGTTTGTGGTTATGTGTTTGTGATTGTCTCTTTGTAGTTGTGCGTTTGTGATTGTGTGTTTCTGATTGTGTTTGTGATTGTGTCTTTGTAGTTGTGTTTGTAGTTGTGTGTTTGTGATTGCGTGTTTCTGATTGTGCTTGTGGTTGTGTGGTTGTGTGTGTTTGTGGTTGTGTATCGGTTGTGTGTTTGTGGTTGTAGCTTGTGGCTGTGTGCTTGTGGCTGTGTGTTTGTGATTGTGTGTTTCTGGTTGTGTTTGTGGTTGTGTGCTTGTGGCTGTGTGTTTGTTGTTCTGTTTGTAATTGTGTGTTGAGGTCCGGCGGGGAACACTGGCCGCGGAAAACTGGGCGCGGATGGTCGTGGTCGAGTGGTCGAGGTCCGGCGGGGAACACTGGGCGCGGATGGTCGTGGTTGAGGTCCGGCGGGGAACACTGGGCGCGGATGGTCGTGGTTGAGGTCCAGCAGGGAACACTGGAGGAGGACGAGGAGGAGGAGGAGATGGGGCTGAGATAAAATCTAACAACCCTCACCTGACAGGTGGGGAACGACAGCAACAGCTTTGAGCTGATCGAACATCGAACAGCGCCAAACAAAGCACGACACAAATACCACTCCCAGTCCGAAAACTTCGGGAGGCCTCCACAGCGAACAAAGCCTACGTTTGTCACCAAATCTGGCTGCCAAAAGAGGAAACTGAATTGGGTCCAAGCGCAACAAATGCATTTTTGAGGCCGCTTCACATCCGAAACACGAGGTCATGTGCCTGCAATGAAAAAAAAGCCTCGGACAAGCTTCAAATGCTGGAGCCACCAGCAAAACAGTCGCTGAGAATGTGATCAGAATTGACAGTGATGTTTGAGTGATCGAGTATGATTGAGATTGATTGAGTGATACTGCGTGAAGCACTGAGGTAGGTCGAGGCAAGCGGGATACCATGAGATACCGAGAGGTGACCACTAAAAACTCCACAAGGTGATGAACGAATTCAAAGGATGCACCACTCAGCCGCACTCGACCGTACTGCCCCCCACAGGTCAAGGACGGATTCGGAAGCTATGATTCGGAAACTACAGGCTGATTCGGAAGCTATAGCGGATGCCCAAAGAAGGAGGCAACAAACATGTCCACACTGCACCCAGTTGACCTTCTGCCGGCTTTTGGCCCTACACACTTCACCATGACATCAGCAATGGTGATTCGTTTTACCCTCCCACCTGTGGTTTCGTGGTGCTTTTTGGGTTTTCTCAATCTTCAAGATGCTGGTCAAATTAGATGCAAGGATCCCCAGCGGTCAAATCTATTCATCAGGGATATCCCCTCCCAAGTAGACCCTGCGTTGCCACAAAGATGACTGCCATACTTATAACTTACAACCATAACATACCATAACATACCATAACTCTGTAGATGGCGCAACAATTGAAAAGATCCATCCAAACCGAGATGTCCTTCTCACACCAGTTGAAATGTTTGGCAGTTTAGATATTTTAGGTTGAATTGTGCTTATTCTTCTGTGGGCCTGCGTGATTGATGTGCTTCCTCGCCTTGCTCGCAACCATAAACCGCACGTCATTATTCCCCCCAACCGCCCCCCGGCCACCCATCTACCTGCTCGACTTTTGAACCAGTGTTGTGTTTCTCTTCGTAGTTTCTGAATCGGAACTTATTCCCCCTGCTTCCTTACAGTAGAAGTTTCGGGGGAAGGAGAAGGGAAAGGCAGTTGGACAACTGTGGTTCTGAGTTGGAATTGAACTGTGAATTCGTTTTTCTCAACTCCCAACCTTCCTTTCCAATGCCGAGAGGGCGCGATCGTCCGGCTCCAAAGCGCCCGCAGATTGACCATCTTTGAATTCTTCCCGGAGCTGCTGCAATCCATCCTCAAGATTGGCCTGCAGTGCTCGAATCTCGGTGTCCAACGCCTCCTGAGCGAACGGAATCACCGAATCATCCAATCAAAGCATCCAATTTCACAAAGCGGGCGCCATATCTAGCACTTCTTTTGTGAGTCACTTAGAAGATCTTGGATGCATTCACACCTGTGCAGGGTTCCAATTCACAAGGTCTGCTTCTATGGCACGCTTAGGCCTATTTGGATCAGGCCGTCGTCACCTGGGTGCTGCTGTGACATTGGGCATGAGTGGTCAAGAACAAGCGCATTTCAGCTCAGAAATGCCAGAACTTGGGTCACAGGTGGAGGATTTAGAGCCGACATACCAAGCAAATTTCAGTCGTCTCCTGATTCTGTTCGAAGGCAATGAACTTCGCCTCCATGTAGCCATCCCGCTGAGGTGGTGCCCTTTGTCGAAGCTCTTCCTCCAGTTTCTCCATACGGCGCATGACTTCCTCCATGGAGTGCTCGGTGCGACGGATCTTGGTGGCTTGACGCTTCTGCAACTCTTCGGCCGCTGCAGCTGCCAAGCGATTCTGTTGCTCCAGAGCCTGGACCGATGGACCCTGTTGTGGGCAATTTCTTTGTTGTCTACCCCAGGTTCAAGCTATGCAGTTATGAGTCAATGGAATGGAAATGCATATGCATGTTGCTTTCACTTCGGGGTTCTCGGCTGCTGGAAGGAGAATGGACCCATGCCTGCCTGAACTTGCTGCTCCAGGTCACGATTCCGCTGCTTGGAGGCTTCTGAGCCACTGGTGCGTGCCCACAGCCGTTCATCCAAGCCATCCAAACGACGAGCAAGCGCCTGTTTTTTGGCCGAAGTATGACGGCAGAAGAGGCCCAAGAAAGGTAGAAGATTCAGTTCATGATTGAACGATTGGATCTAGATCTCTGGATAGAGATAGAACGATTTGCTGGTCGTATTGTTGCACACTAGGAACCTGATCATTCCCAGTTCCGACGAAAAAAGGAACCGGACCATGGGACAGAACAAGGAGCTTTGCAAGTAGAAGTAGAAGCAACTAAATGACAACCCCATTCATGAGGGCGTCCTGAAAGCGTTGCTGGCTCCAAACTCTTGTATGTTCCAGTGAAGTGAACTCAACATGCAGGTTTAGCCGCCCTTAATTTCATCCCCACGCCTGAGTCTCCTCAAGAAGCCCACTCACACTTCCTTGTACTTCTGCCCACCTTTCTCGCCCATCGTGCTTGTCAGCCTCAGCTGTTTTCGCATCAAGTTTCTTCTCAACTTGTGTCAAGCGCCGTCGATCGAGCTCGCATTGGCGCTGGAGAGTTGTGACTCCAGCATTGATGCGTTCAGCCAGCGCTGTGAATTGATTCTCAATGATGGTTCGAGAAAGGCTGGCTGTTCGGGCTTGGGTGGCTTGGGTGGTCATGGGAGCTGCGCCACGATCACCGGGCTCCCACGCACTATTGGGGCTGGAACAAATCGAATTGTTCATGCCCTCATGATGCGGCCCATGCAAAGCCCCAGCTGGGTCACGGAGCAAGCTGGCAATACGCCGCATGTCAATGGCCAGCGCACGGCGTGATGGACTGGCAGACCTCAATCGGCCTGCCCCCAACGGGCCCATGGATGGACGGAAGGGAGATGATCTTGAAGCATCCATGGCGGACACGGACCCACCACGACAAAGCAATGTACTTTCAACAGGAGTTTTCGTTCTTTGTTCAACTTGCAGACTTCGTGAAGTGCTCAACAACGGCCAGCTTTTTGCCAGCACGCTTTTGAGCCGCCGATGCCGAAATGGGCAGGAGAGTTCAAAACATGTCAAAAATGCAGCCACACTGACTCCCAAACGTGCCAGTTCGATATGTTCCTGACCCATAACACCGTGCAAGCCCTATGAGTTTCTGATCTGACAGTTCGCTTGGAGCCCCACCTCGACATGGAGCGCCCAAAGTGGCTGGGTTGCAGCACTGCTTTTGCCGCCTCAAAAAGACATGAAAAGACTGCAAGACTACAAGTGCACAGGAGACTGTACTCCAAAATGCACCACAAACGACGTGTGACACGAGTATCAGGATTAGTATGCTTGTGAACTCTTGTTGCAGTGCTTGCCGAACTGAACGATTTAACTACTCTATATCGCACCTTCTGTGCCAGGATGTGGCGACTCGGAAGTTGCAACGCCGCGTGTTGTCAACCTCAGAAAACGAACCTGATCCGAATGTTGTTTCATAGATTGTACATCCAGAATTCAGTAGGAAGGAGCCCATGAATAACCCCATACAGCATGAGCGCGAATCAATTGTACCCAATTAGCCCTGCAGTTTACATCACTTGCTCTCCACGTCACCTTCACAAGTCTTCCACGTCATCGTGTGCATAAACGTTTAACTAGCCTTCTACCATGTGGACAGGGCTCTGAAAATTCCGTCAATCCTCAATTATCATCTCTTAATTTAATTAAATAATGTGGGTCAAGAAGATGCAGCAAACAAATGTGAGTGGTAAGACAAATCAAGTCCTGGAATTTGATTTGGAAATCCAAGTCCACTTAGTAGTTTGCAAATGATTTAAATGTGTTCAAGGATCAACACTCCAAACAACCAGCTCGTGTCCTCTTTGGCAAGCAACACTGGCGACTGCACCGGAGACAGCGTTCCATTTGAAGCCTGGTGGACAATGTCCCGCACACATCCCAAGAAGAGACTACACAAACAATGCAAGGACAATGCTTTGCAAGCTACTTGCAGTATGTTTATGTATATATATATATATCTGATTATATCTGTATAATTAGTTCAGTTGTTTATGTTTGTCCTTCTGCTCAGAATCCCTCTTTCAGCCAAAGCTTGCTAAGGCGGGTACCCTGCGTGAAGGAACCTGGGTCGCATCTGATGAGGCCTTCCGCACCACCAGATTGTTCTCAAGCAGTTGTGCTTGCAAAGGATCACCTGCTATCCTTGCTAAAGTTGTTACTTGCACGTGGGGGAGTGACTCCACTGCTTGAGGCGCTTGCAAAAGTTGCATTGGGTGCTGCATGGCTTGGGATGGGTGTGGAGCCGCTTGTGGCACCTGCTGTACCTGTGGAGCCACTTGTGGTGCTTGTGGCACCTGTGGCACATGTGCCTGGATGATGTGGGGATGCTTTGCCTGGAAAGCCTGTGGTGCCTGCGGAGGCAACTGCATCTCATACATGTCGGAGGGGGGGCGGAGCCTGTGCACCTTGCTGTGGTGATGCCCGGCTCAGCACACCTGGAGGCGAGCCTTGTCGAACTGGCTGCGTTCGAGGAGAGAGCTGCCGTCCCACGTGAGACCACCGGACCTGTTCCCGGTGTGGTCCGATCTGGGATTGCGAGGGATGTTTGGTCATCACCATCCGTGGTGTGGGATTGAGCACGTGGTGCTCCTTTGCATGTGGACTTGGAATCCTCACCACCAGTGGTGAATGCGCACGCGGGGAGGAACTCCACTCCGCTGCGGACACGGGGCCAAGGCCACCAGGGCCGGAGGGTGACCCACCTGGCGGGCCAGCCCTCCAATTCATGGGCGCTTTCGCCAATTGCATGCGGTTGCTGGGTGGCGCAGCCCCTCCTGGACACAAGTCAAGAAGCCTTTACAGTAAATGGGCGGCTGAAACCGGTCACTGAATTCTGAGTCAGAAAAAAAAAAAACCTCCAAAAGGGTTGGAATGTTCGATTTGCCCACATGATTATCGTAACGTATCTTAACCCCCTGTGTCTTTCTGGTGAATCCGATCCTTTCTCGCTTTCAGTCCCTTCACTCCTAGCCGGCCGATACCTGGTGAACACCTCGGTTTAGAGCCGCATGCAATGGCCAACAGCTTCGTTGTGAGCTTCTCCAAATTAGTAGCACTCCTGTTCCTAGTAGTAAGGCCAGGAGCCCCGTTCGTAGAGTCCTTGCTCTTAATTAGTAGCGATGCCAGGAGCCCCGTTCGTAGCGTCCCTGTCTTGACGTTCTCACGTTGGCACCCAGTCGAGTCGGAACGATGCGGCATGCAACTCAAGGGACTGAGAATCGCGGTCCGATCAGCCGAGATGCAATGACTTGCTCATTGGCCTGGATGTCTCACAGTGACCCATGACCAGGAGCGATCGGACGCTACTAGGAGCTCCTGGCCTTACTACTAGTAACAAGAAGCTACTAGGAGCTCCTGGCCTTACTACTAGGACCAAGGACGCTACTAGGGGCTCCTGGATGTCTCACAGTGACCCATGACCGGTTATTGAAGCGTTGGCGCTGTGGAATTTGGCGGTCCACTGTCACTGATCAAGATTTGAAGCTTGAGACAACCAAATGACAACCAACGGTTCACTTCACCCCATGAACTTTTCCGAGCATGGAACCCTCAAAGAAACTGTGCTTCCGCATGCTTCCAAGCTTGCATTCATAGAAACTGGGCTGCTTCATGACATTCTTTTGCCACACAACCAGAACGGAAGGGGAGTTGACAAGCAGTGCCGTGTTTGAAACATTGATAAATGCGTTGCGTTGGAGGCCATCGCTTCTAGGTTATAGTCTATAGTCCATGGCGCCATCCATCACTCGCCGCCGGCGCTTTCCCTCTGCTCCGTTGCTCGCTCCCCGACTTCTCTCAGCTCTGCACGGCGACACGGCTCGGGGTGAACGCACACCCGAATTCATCGGTGGTGAACCTGCCCGTCCGGAGCCCGACAGAAGTGCTCAATGGGAAAACCGTCTCTAGATCTTCCAGACGTGACGCTTGTTTGGTTGTAGTTATGAGTTATGACATCTTATTAAACGAAACCAGAAAATGAGTTGTGAAGTAAGAGTATCTTTTTGACCGGGGCGTTCACTTTCCATTGCCATAGTGACATAGTGTGGGACCCAGGTAGATCCTGACACAATGCTTCTTTTTACTCAGACGCCATGCCTGCCCGTGGCAAATTCGGCGAATTTGCTGCACGGTAGACTGGCGCTGGGGCACCTTCCAGCTTCGCCATATGTGAGTGGCAGGAAAGAACAGGGACGCCATACTTTGGGACTTTGAAATCAAGTCGTCTCTATGTTTGCAACTCTGTTTGATATCAACACATGGCCTGGTGGTGCACCTGGCAAGTTGGAGACGAACTGCCAAGCCAGAGCAAAGTTCGGGGCTTTAGCCTGCAGCACAACAATCCATCCAATCTTATGTCGGCCTGTGCTTGCAAAGGTATGAACATCATCGTCTTCCACCTTCCCCAAAGTTGGGCCGTGGCCCTGGATACCAAACTGTCCCCAAGGGAAAGTTGAACACTAGTACGTAAGGCCGATACGTCTTGAGGTATGCTGCTCAACTGCTCGCTAGGAATCATAGAAATCATGACCACTCCAAAAGTCCAAAACCTTGACGAAACTTGCACCTGTGGCCGGGCGCTAGGGGCAGCCGCTGAGCCTGCAGAATCCGGCTACTTCAAGGTTTCTGAACCCTTGATGTTCTCTAATTTATCCAAATGGCTTGGCATTCCCATCGCATCCACGCGAACCCCCTACCCTTTGCTGTCCACCTTCCATGTGGCCCTATCGCTCTTGGCACCTCCAGCGGTGTGACCCTCACCAGTGACTTTGGGCGAGGAGGCCTGGCCGGCACCACGCGTGAGGATTGACTGTGCCAAGATTCGTCCTGCTTGACAAAGCCTCGACCGCATAGTCTGCGAACAACGCAGCACAAGACAGACCGAGCGACCGGTTCTTGGAATGACAATGTGCCTGGACGCTCATGTCTCAAATGTCTTTGCTTCACATGAGAAGTCCTCAGCCGGCGTTCTACACTTACTTGGGCTTCAAGGGAGACGAGACTGATCCAATGCAAGTAATCGTTTGCTCAACATGCTTGCTCCAGCAAAAAAGGACGCCCTTGAATTTTGCGGTTAGCACTACTGGACTCCTCTCAGCCAGTTTACCCGTTTCGTTAGTTTGTAGAGCAATCTCCGATTTTGAGATTGTGGAGTTCCTCAATGCGCCCTTGGAAGAGCTGACAGCTGCAGAGTCTTTTGACTTCTCAGAGCATGCACAGCCAGCATCTTCCTTTCGAGCCACGCACCTTGGTGAGAAACCACTGCTCTGGATTGGTCCATGCTGGTGATTAGGCATTCCATCTGCAGGCATTGTAGCTTCCTTGTCACTTCGTGAGCCTGCTGTGATTTCTACGTTCCTTTGAACAATTTGTCGTGCACTACGGCACCTGGCAAGCAAAGCTCTTCGAATGCGAGGACACCTACAAACGTTGCTGACGGGTAGGTGTACAAAAAGTCCAAGTTTCGTCCAGCAACTGCAACAGACTGAAAGCTCAGCAAGAGGTGCAAGGCATGATAGTACATACAGGTACTGGATGGTACTGGAGGATTGGTGTTTTAGGTTTCTGCTGTAATGGTTTGTTCAACGCCAATTCTTCGAACTCTGAGAGTCGCACAGAGAGGTCTCCTACTTCTTGCAACAGGCCAGGTCTGATGCAGGGGATGATCTGCCTCCCGTGGCAACTCTATGGTTGAAACGGATCCACAAGCGATCCATGTCCAGCTGTGCAGGCTTTGTCTCCATTCCGTGCCAGTCGAATCAGGAATCAAAGGGTCCAGACCTACGCACTTCTTGCCCTCAATTGCACACCTGAGCAGGCTTGGCAATATGACATTATGCCTGCATGTTTCAAAAAAAATGAAAAGAACGAACACTCACAACATAGCCAACTGAAACATTCAGTCTATATAATCCTCAATCACAGCAACTACTCTAAATGCATTCAATGAGCGTGACCACTATTTCACGGTCACTGGGATCACCGAGTAGGTATCTTTCCTCAGGTCACGTTGCAGTGAAAGTATGGTCAGAAGGCCAATCTACCTTCCAACAGCAGAACTCCAAAGATTAAAGCCCGACGTCATGCGTTGCCTCGGCCATTGTAAGCTAAGCCGCAAAGCTTCTCCGGCAGCCCCATCGCTTCTGAATTGCTTCACAACTTTCGACTCTCCTGAGCCTTTTCGCCTGCAGAGGTAACTCAGTGACCTCGAATAGAAAAGGGACAAACATGAGTCTCAGTCTCTCAGAGCCAAAAAGAATGGCTTTATCCACTGTTGTTATCTTTTTTGCCCGGGGAGCAGGCTGTAGAGGGAGGTAGTAGCTAGGTAGGTAGCTAGTAGAAGCTAGGGAGTCGCTAGTAGCTAACAAGTAGCTACTACCTAGGATGCAGGATAGCTCAGGCTTCTTCAAGGAAGCTCCCCCGCCCTAAAGGCGGCGGGGGGGAGCTTCCTTGGAGAAGCGCTCAAACTAATCATTTGGTTCTTCGACTTTTTGGGAAACTTAGTAGCGAAGATAATGGTCTGTAGCTCACAATCTCACCATGGTATTGGCTTGCCGATCAAGCGTTGTATCACTTTGCAAGGAAGCACAGATCATTCAGGAGATTGACACATCCTTGAAGTGTTTCTTGAGGGTAGGACTGTAGGACCAAGATATCGAGGTATATCTGTTTTAGTAACAGCAACATCTTTCCAAAACTCTCTGTCCTTGCGGAAGCCGTCATCGCAAAGATGCGAGCCACCTGATTGACTCAGTGAGGTGTCTTGGGAGATTGCAAGGTCTTCTTTGCAATGATCATCAAGGAATAGAAAGGCTGTGCTCAAGATAGATGAATACCTTGAATACAAGAATCCAATGATCCTTTTGCAATGATCATCGATGATCTGCTTTTAAGGGCTGTGCTCAATGAATAGCAGCACAAGGCATCTCCTCGATCGCTGCATGCGCCATTCTGTGCTTCACACACCTCGGGCAAGATCTGAACGCCTCAAGGGCAACCTTTCTTCAGCACAAGCATGGATGATAGATGAACGACGGTGGTGGGTGGTAGACCAGAATACATACACCAGACCCATTTGTGGTGCGGGATCCACAATTTCAATGTTCTTGCTTGAACAGTAAGAGCCCCTAATTCAGCCGCGGAGCTGACTTCACTCCATTGATCAGAACAAAGTAACTTGAGCAGCTCGTCACATCGATTTTACTGCAGTCTGTTGCCTCCGACTGGTTGCTGACCTTGACGCAGAAAACACTTCGTGTCCATTCGCGTATTGTCAATCGTTTTTCGAGACGCCTGCATCCAACCAATTCGTCCTTTTCATCTTGTTTTGGCCGAACACAAACGGAGCACGTGCGACGTTTGTGCGGATGGCCACAACGGATCTGATGCACATCCGAGGGCTGTACGCTGAGATACGAACAGTTTGGGAAGTAGGTGTCTGCAATCCTGGGACATCCGAGACACAGATCTGTGCCGGTTGAGCAAATGAGAATGAGAGTTGGCAAATACACATGCTTTCGGAAAAGGTGATCTGTGCTTTCCGTCATTCTTCCCAAGTTGGCATATTGCGGTGAAGGATCACTGACTGGCGTTCAGCCTGCGAGTTCTTTCCACATTCCATGCTTTCAGAAGCATCTCGAATCTCGTGTCATTCAACTGAGTCAAGAATACTGGTGCTTTCTCCCTCCCGCTCTCGCTCGCTCTGTCGCACGCGCCCGCTCTCTTTCTTGCTCTCTCACTTCCTTTCTCTCTACGTCTTGTCTTCATGTACCTTGAGATTATAAAACAATACTTTCGGAACTACTGTGCTCTCCCCTAAGCCAAGTCGATAGAATCATAAACATGGTAGCGCCTCACCCTGTGCTGTAAGACTCCAAACCTGTCCATCTTGGCAAGAATTATAAAACAAAAAGCAAAAATATGTGTTTCTAAGGATCTTGCAAAGGCCGAAACACATGCAAATGGACACCGTCATAAAAGACCGACCTCTGTCAACAAATAGTTTCTTCAGCTTTAGTCTCGACAATGATTCCACACAGTTTCCGCCGCATGCGTTGTCAATGAAGTCCATTGCAGGTTCCACTAGGTCGATTTTTCAATCATGGTGTCCAACTACGAATTGACAGACGGAAGTTGGAAGGCTTAACTGAAAACACTCCATTGGTCCATATAAAAAAAGAACCTACGCCAGTGAGCAACCATGCCTGGGGATCCTTCCGGATGATCGGCGCTGCCCCGGCCAACGCCTCAAATTGTTTCACTGCAGTGAACAAGTGAGCTGTGGCAAGGGCTTGAAATTGACAAGATTATATATATATATATAGAGACAACAACGTCACAAGCAGACTGACTGGCATCAGAGTCGGATCACTCCTGTTTGTAAGGAAGTTGGACATCTGGGGTGTCAAACAGACACCGCCTTCCAATCCCAAACAATCCCAAGAGGTGTGGGTGGGTGGGACAGGAAGGGATCACCTTGCAAGCTTTTGAACCAAATTGCCCAATAAACAGAGCCGCACATGGTCTAGGCCGCCCCCCACAATGCCTTTCTGACTCTATGGGTGTTTCAGGGAGCACTGTGGACAAGCAACTGGCAGGCCCTGGCAAAAGGATGACATTATCAGGTGCGCAGGTGTAAAGTTGGTCGGCGTGTTTAAAATGTTGCACCCAAGAGGGCTTGTTGGGGAAGAAGGGGGTGGGGTTCAAGCCAGGGCTTATTGGGAGGTCGAGGGGTGAAATGAAGTGTTCAGTGCGTGAAGGTCAGGGCGCGGGGAATGACACGGAAGAATGACAGCGGTGAAGCACAGCCGTCTTCAAAGCTCAAAAACAATAGAAAGAAGTGATGGGTTCCGGCATACCACCGTCCAAGCTCTTGAGCCAAAATGGCCTAACAAAGCCGCGAATGGTGTACCCCCCCCCACACACACAACACACCTTCTGACTATATCTATTGTTACTTTCGCAATTACTTTGCTATTCTCAAGAATACCGGCTTGCGGCACTTGATAGGCGTTTGAGGAGTCTCGATGCCTTTCATTGTCATACTGATGAGCTTGTCACACATCTCTCTCTTCACCGCCTTAAATGCTGCCCAAGCCGCAAGGAGGCAAAGTCGCAATCGCGTGAATCCTATCATAAGATCATACGGATCTATGTACTCCGGGACTTGAATTTTTGTGACTGGTTAAATTTGGCTAAGCTCTGCAGTTTGGGGTCAGTGGACCCGGGTTCAACTTCAAGGTCGCTTCCTCAAATCTGTCAAAACCTCAACACACTTCTACGCCTGCCATTTCGGGCGATGAGCCTAACTTAAATGGCTGCAGTGATGGTCACATCTTCTATCTTCACAATCTGAAAGTCTCCATCGTCTCCTTAATTCTCACAACCCAACAGCCAACAGCCAACTTGGTGCAACAGCCGACAGCTTGGTTTGTCATGGTTTCTCTAATGGATCATAGTGCATGAAGATCAAACTCTATCCCTGAGTTGACGGCCAAACAACTGCGCCGGCTGCACTAGGATGGGGAAATTGATACTGTTGTTCCCCAGTCTGTCTCAAATCGTTGGGTGTTGTTGAGTTGTGTGCCTTTTACGCTGTTCATTGCTGTTCATTTCCTGAATGCCCTGTGAACTTGTTTGAATGGGTCTTCCATCTCAAAGGTCCTGTCAGGGGGACAAGCTGATCTGAAACAAGCTAGTCCTTCCCTGTAATTGCCAAAGCCAAAGCTGCAAACGAAGAAGGGAATGAGCTGCGGAATTAGCTGACCATTTACCCTGTGCGGTGCCTCTCCATGAGATGGGGGCGCCACAATCAAAAGTGCCCTTCCCAACTGTCCCAGGCGTCGTAACAAGACTCACAATGTCAATGTACAGTAATTTAGGCTGCCAGTGTTACTAGCTGCGATTTGGCGTCAAGGGCCATTGG